CGGCTGCAGCACTAGCTGTCCCAGGGGCTGCTGGTTTGCCTCAGCATCCCTCTGCTTGCTGCGCTGGGAAGTGGGAGTGGTGCTGCTAAACTCTTTCACAGAGCCCTCTTGGAATCGGGAGCGGAGCCCGTGTCTGTGGTGGGAGGTGGGGATGGACCTGAAGTGGCCCTTCTGCTCTCCCGGCACCATTTGGGGATAGGGCTGAATGCCCGTGAGGACAAAGCGGAGAAGGAGCATCCCTGAGTACAGTGCTCCTCTGCAGTGGAAGTGCGAGGGGTGGCCTCTTCTCGCTGTCTTGCAGAGGAGTTTCTGTTCTCCCCGTCGGTTGGCAGAGATACTTCTTCCCTGGGACACCCCTTTGTTGGCAGAGCTCTAGGAGAGTGGGGCCTTGCAGGACCTGTCCTGCGTGCAGTCTGATCCCGAGGGGCTTTTGTCCCTTCTCCGGCCAGCCCACAGTTAGCATTGCTGGAAAGGCTTAGTCACACAGGTGAAACGGAAGATTCTGAGGGCCGAGGTAGCTCTGATCTCGCTTTCACGGGTATCGTGCTCGTGGCAGCATCACTGAGGAAGACAGCAGCCATGACAACACCTGCCAGGGTCCCAAATAGACCTGTGCTGACACATCTGCCTGGAAATCATTGTCTTTGAATGCTTGGTGTAACTCTTTGGTCTCTATGTTGTGCCTCACCCATTCCTGGTTGTGTGGATTGTCCTAACATGTAAGATTCCTGGATTTTAGCACCACCAATCCCTGCAGTATTACCCACATTCCTTCACTGACCTCATACTGATGGCTGGCTCTGTGGAGGTTTCTTGGATAAGGGTTGAAAAGGCAGGGTACTGCCTATTTGAGGTGAACCTTAATGATCCGTTGACAGTTTCTGGCTTAGGAGCCACTGCTTGCTTTGGTGTCACAGGTGAAGACCCCTTCTCCCAGCCCCCCCGGACACACCTAACCCTGCCTACGTGTTCTGCTCGGGGTGTTTCAGTGATACTGCATTCTGCACCCTAAATAGTTTAAAAAATGGTTTGGCATGGGAGGCAATATACAAAGGAATTACCCTGCCAAACTTGCTGTTCGGGATTGGCTGCTCCTGCTCTCACAAGCCGAACTTAATTCTGCTGCCCGAACCAGCGAGTGGGACTGTGGTGAAATCTGCCTTTTTTTCAGGGGAAAAGGTGGTTGTTATTAGACCTATGGCATGAAATATTCCATTAAATGTCATTAGCGTGGCATTAACGTGCCTCCTTTAGACATTAGAACCCTGGCAAAATGGGGTCCTTACATTCTTCACAGGTTTAACCTTTTTTAATTAGTTTTTCCTTTAGATCCAGAATGCTTAGTGTGCTGCCATTCCCAGGTGCATCGGGAAGGAAAGTGGACTTTGGTTATTAAGAAACATATGAGACAGTTTGATCTGCATTTTCAGGGTTGTTAGAGGCAAAAGCAATTTCTGCTGCTTGTGTGGGTGACCCTGACATAGTCATGCACCAATGACATACACTTCCTACAGTGAACATTCCAAATAACTAAAAATTAAGGAGAACTTATTATTTTTCTGCCCAGCTGAAATTCCCACAAGTCACCTCTCAGCATATTCTGGAGTGCACAAGAGGGATTTATTATTTCCTGGTATATTGACTCTGAAAGGTCTGGGGATTACAGCTGCTTTGCACATGAATAGCTGGAGTGTGTTGTACAAAAGGCATGGTCTGTGGGATAATGGGGTTGGATGTGGGAAAGCGCTGACCCTGGGGGAGAGCAGGCTGGTGCCTGATGGCAGGAATCAATTATGTCTCAAAGGAACACATTGCCCTGGGAGCAGGCTTTGCGGGAGCCACCATGTTATGTGTTTACCACCCTCCTCCTTGAAAACCCCGTGCAAAACCACCACACAATGTGTCCTGCCCTTCTGCTTTTACCGAGGGACTCCCACACCTTGCTCGCTAGTCACTCCATTCCCTTCGAGTTGGGAACGATCTGGGTGGCGTAACTGCTCCCCATCTCGGTGCCGGGGCTGAGACCCAGCAGTTCGCTCTCACCTGCTGCCAGGCGGTTGTGAGCTTTGCTCTCAAGCACCTGGAGTACACGTTCCCCAAAAATCCTCCGGACCACGCAGACCTCATCAGTCAGGCACCTACATCGGTGCGTTTGGACTTTGCTTGGACTGATGTTAATTTTCTCTCTTTATAAAATCACGAGGCTTGCACATGAAGTCCTACTGAAGGCCATAAGTACTACAAGTCCCATCACAAGACTTACCGAACAGTGCTACTGGGTGTTTTGGCAAGGAGAAGGTATCCTGGGGAGAGGGTATTTCAGAGGGGCAGGCTGAGAATTGGGAGTGTGGTTTGTGAAGTCTGGCCCCAACAAGCGCTTGCTGTCACTGACGGGATGGGAATGGTGTGTTTGTGCCGGATAGGGGGGGCAGCCGCCTCTCCCCTGGCAAGAGCAGAATTAATCCTGTGTGCAAGTGTCAGCTCTGTGATCACCCAGGTCTAGCGAAGGCAGCGGTGGAGGGGGGAGATAACAGCCACGGACGCTGTCGGGTGTCAGGTTCAGGGGACTCTAGTGCCATAAACAGCGTGGAGAGGGTTGAGGACAGGACCAGGACCCCCAGCACATCAGTGTAGCTGGTACCACAAACGGTGCCCTACAGTCACCTGCAGCTCTAGGCACGGGGAATCTGGCATGAAGTCCCCA